CCACAGGCCCAATAACCTTCTGCAGAAACTAGCAGTTACACCTGCCCTGAGGGCGAGTATTTCTGCTAATGTGAATAGTGGATTGAATGTTGATTCACAAGATGTGAAGATAAAAATTTGGATAAATGATAATAAAGAATAAATTAAAACTTTTTATAGTTTATTCTGTGTGTCATTTCAAACAGACATCTTTTGTCCATGTTACAAATGAATAGGCTCATAAACATTGCACTTACCGTAGCTGACTTACGTCCCAGGTAATTACTCGTGTTAGCTGAAATCGTTTTTTGGAAAGTTGCATAGATTTCTGTTCAAGAATGTTACTGTTGACTGCAGACCAACTTTGTAAAAATATTTTTTTCTCTCCAATGTGGTAACTATTAATTTTTATCTATAAACGTGGTAATATACCAGAGCTGGTGTTAAAGGCTTGCAGCTGTTTAACTGAACTAATTTTCAATCAATCACACTGAGACTTATGATTCAGAAATATTTTGGACTGTTAGCTTTCTGAATCCTGTAACCATGCAAAAATTCCCTTCCTTTGCCACTAGATATTAATGCAATAATTATCAGAAGACGGTAGGCACAATAGTAAGTGTAATTAAACACAAAAAATGCTGCTCTTTTTTTTTTGTTAGTAAAAATTGAACTGAAAAACTTTTAACTCTGTAGCAATGACACCATTTTAAAATCCCCCTTCTGTAGATTTTACTGAGTTACATTCAGAAGTTAATTAAACCACTTTACTATAAACGTATTTTAATGAAATCATTATTATCAAGTATGTTATAATTTAAAGTTTTATATCATTGAAGTATTATTCCTTTATTTTAAAAAGAAACAAATAAAACAACAATTAAAATGGCAGTTTTTCCTATCACGTGATCCACTCATGGTTACAATTCTCAACTTTTAAGAGCTATTATATAAGAAACTGAGTAGCTAAAGTAGACTATTATTTCAGATGGCCAAAGCCCACAAAACGCATGTATTTCATTAACATCTACGGATGTTCCAAGAATTTCTTCCTAACCTAAACAGCTGTAAATGTTTTTCTTAGTTTAAGGTCAGCCGTGTCCACTTGCAAAGTCGAAGTTGTTTTGCAAAACGACAGTTTGAGGTTGAATGGCATGCTTATAACCAATAGAAAGAGCAGATTTCCCTCTATTTAGCTAAATAGGCCAACATATATTGGTTCTAATTATTACACTGAAAGATGCTTATGTCCATTGTTGAGAGCAGGGCCCTTAGAATTTGGCTATACTTTCTCACCTTGTACATATTAGTTTGATAGACAGTTAATTGTATTTAGGTTTTAAAATGCATATTTGAAAGGTTTATTGATTTTTATAAGTTTAACTTGTTCTCGCTTGAATTGTGAATGCGTGTATACATGGCATGAGCGAGCGCCATCTTGTTTACCCACTCCGTGTCTGGAGTCAGCGAACAAATATGTTTATAAAGGCCCACAAGCATAAGTGATGTATTGGCAAAAATAACAAAAGACAAAGAATTTGAAAGGAATATTTAAAATAAACTATAATTGAAAAGATAAAGAGCTGAAATTATGCATAGGAGACCAAGAAGTGTATTCTATTCAATTTCTATGAAGTGTTGAAAGGTATGTACATACTACCAATCGTTAAATTTAAAACATTTCGTTGCACTGTATGTTGATGATAATAGATAGATAATAATATACTAGAGACAATGGAAAATAAAATATATATATATATATAAAGATTTACCTTAAAAAACTTCTGATATTCATTTATGAGGTTCTAAAGATTATGCAAATGAAATGTGAAAACTGAAAGATAAAAAGTAGTATTTATATACTTCATATAAAAAATCACCTTGCAAGTGTTATTTTATAGAACTGTGACAGAATTTATTTTTGTTTCATGCATAAATAATTTTCAGACACTTTTTAAAAAACAATCTTGTAAAAATACCCATTTTATCAAACTTTTTAAGGTCTGGAAATTTATAAGCACTTTTCAGTTTTTGAGCACTAGATATTTGTTTCTACTGAGCAAAGCTTCTAAGATGATGACTGATGATGGTTCTCACCTTGTACATATTAGTTTAATAGACAGTTTTATTGCATTTAGGTTTCAAAATGCATATTTGAAAGGTTTATTGAACTTGTTCTCGCTTGAATTGTGAATTTCTATGAAGTGTTGAAAGGTATGTACATACTACCATTTGTTAGACTTAAAACATTTTGTTGCACTGTACGTTGATGATAATAGATAAATAGTAATATACATGAGAAAATGGGAAGTAAATGGTAATTAATGATGATTCTACATTATCAATAATTATCAATTGATAATTAATTATCAATAATAAACTGTTCTACATATCAACTCTCCTAAAAATAGTTTATGAGGTTTTCAAAACTGAAAGTCCCCCGATGGGGCAGCAGTATGTCTACAGACTTATAACACTAAAATCCAGGGTTCGATTCCCTGCATTGGACACATCAGATGGACCAACGTGGCTTTGCTCTAAAACAAACAAACAAACCAAATTGCACAAACAAAAGCAAGTTCAAACCTAATAAACCTTCACCTGTTTGAGTGTCCTTATGACAAGGATGAGGTTTACAGGATACGCCTTTCGTCTGCATTAGAGGTTTACACAGAAGGGCCTTGTTCTTCAGTGGTCTGGGGGCAGCTGGCTTCACTATAACTTCCCGAATCACCTGAGGCTGTTGTTGTGGTGTGCTGGGCGTGGTTGTTACTGTGACTGTTGCGGTTGACTTGATAGGTGGTGTTTTTACCGAATCCACCGTAGCAACTGTATGAGTCTGAACATCACAGTATAAGTTTAAAACTTTTTAAGTTCACAAACAAAAAAAAAAAAATAACTTACCATATCTGATTATTTAGTAAGAATAATGTTATTCTATAAAATATATAGAGAAATAATGCTAAATCAATTATGAGTAAAAAAAAAAGGAATCATAAAACAAGAGAAAGTCCTAACACTCAGCTTTTCTTTGTGGAGTTAGTTCCTGATCATGGCTGAAAAATAGCCTTGTAGGCTGAAACTGAGGTTCATAAATTTGAAATATAACATTAGCTGGTTTTCATTTAAAAATAAAATAATAAGATTTCTAAAAATCAGAAGTAAAAATAGGTCTTCTCTTTCCACAAGGAAACTTATTACACAACAAATGATACTATATACTTTTGGATTGAAAAAATATATTTACGATTTCTTTTTTCTAGTGACACATAACAAGGTGAACCCAAAGTTTTTCTAACACTGTCCATGAAAAAGAAATAAAATATTAATAATAAATCATTTTCATTCATAAAAATTTTGTTTTTTAAAGTTTAAATAGAAAGATGATGATAGAACGAACACAGTATTAATACATAAATAAATACAAAATTAAAAGGAAATTGCAAAATGAGGGAATAATACACGATAATTAGAAATGCTCGAATCATCTTAATTCACTATTTCTCAAACTTTTTGATAACATGGACCAGACTGCTGCCTCCCTAAACTGTTACAAACAACTAAAATGCAAGGAAAACAAAACCGTTACAACTGACATATGAAATGAATGTGGTGTCCTCCATTTTCTTTTTTTGTGTATGTGAAGACCCATAGACTGGCAAGATGGTTGTTGTGGACCTTGGTTGTCCATAAACTGGTAGTTGAGAAACACTGCTTTAATGTACACAACTTCACACATTTACTAAGGTGATTTTAGTTGCTATTTTTTCACCAAGTAGTGACACAAAGTCTACATTTTAACCCTATCGCCACGGGTACCCTTTACTGCGCATGACACAAGGTTTTAATGTCTTATATTCAAAATTTTATTAAACTACTTTTTGTTCATGTTATACCAATTAGAACAGCATAAAATCTTAGCGTATAATCCATATTTTAATAGTATACAAGTTTTAAGTTATTAATTCTACAGGGCAATATAAAATAAAATCCTGAATTTCCACTTGTGTGACCCACATGACACATTTTCTCTTAGCATGTCATCATCCCTATTTTATCCACCACCCCTCGAAAAAAAAGTACAAAATGAAGCATAAATTACTCTCTATAAAATCGTTATTGCTCAGACAAACCATAATTTTTTATACTCTTCAATTTTGTTTGGCTACAGAGCTATCGGATAGAGAATCAGACCCCTCCTGCCACACCCACTCTTTCAGAATGTGTTGATAGTTCTCTCTTACATTTCATTATACATTACCTATAACCAATAGAAAGTCAAGGTTTTCATCTATCAAATGATGTATCGTATTATGTTATGATCTGAACAGTTAGATGTCAATTTCACCAACATCATTTCCATGGGAAGTTAACGACTAGCTTGGATAAATTTGTAATGGATCTTGTTGTATAATTAGAAAGTCAGAAAAGTGTGAGAGGTAAGGGAATTTGTCTAATTTTTGCATGTTATTAGTCTATATTCTTTGGTGTATCACTTAATTAAATAAAAATTATTAAGTGCATTACTGTTATTAGTATAAAAAATTAGGGTTAACTCTCTTCAAAAACTGACAGCAAGAAAAAAAGAATTGGTTAAGTATTTTATTTCTTGTTTTTTAAGTTTGTTCATGTATAATTACATAAGTAACTAAAATGTTAAAAATATGGATCTTTTTTAAGTTATTTAAGACTAAATGAAGTAAAATATGTTGTAGTAATAATAATAATATAATTAAAATGGTTCATGAGGCACGCAAGAGAGCAGCTTGGGGGTAATGTAATTCTATAGGTAACATGAGCTACACGATTCCCAAGTGATTTACAATTTATAATGGTGCGGACAATAGTTAAACATGGTTCAAAGGGCAATAAAACAATAAAATTTAATTATAAATAGATGTATATTGTTACAAATTTAGAGCTACTTAGGATAAACGAATGTAGTTTCATGTTACAAGTTGAAGTCATTCTAGAAAGAAAAAAAGGATAATTTAGGCTTATTTTAATTTTTTTGGGGGTGGTTATGAGGTCAGTCAAATTGACCAATCCCGTTTTGAGATAAGGTAGAGAAAATAACAGATAAACTATAAAGTGTTACTGAAAAAAAAAAGTGTGAAATACATTTAGAAGCTTTTGGGGATTACACAAAGGAAATTTGAGATTTTTGAGATAAGTATTTTTAATTTTAACATGAAAATTACTTTGCACACAGACTATTCAAAACCAACTGTTAATATATTCATGGACAAATATTAATTTTATTTCATTAAAAATACTTCACTCAAAAAATATTATTTTTTGTGTGTGAAAGGCTTATAATATTAACCAAAAGACTGCCAAGTTATGTGAAGATATACGCACTATATTGAAAGTTAGAAGTATTAAATCTATAAAGACTTTAAATGAGTACAAAGAGGTTACGTGGTCGGTCAAATTGACTGAGTCTGTGTTGAGAGTTAAATTTTCTTTCCTTCTTCTTTATTTCAGTACACCTACATAATGTACTGATATATCTTCTGAAGAAGAATAGTCAACTATTCGAAAGCGCTCGAGTTTTGGGTCTCATTTTAAGTTTATTCCCACTTTATATGTGATCCTTTGTGCTACCTCTTTCATCAAAATTGAGTATTCTTAGTCCTCTGTGAATTTTAGCTGAGAGAGCCATGTTTCAAGTACAAGGTGATTATTACAAATCTTTATAATGATATAGATCTTAAAAACTACTTGTTCTAGAGAAGCTAAATTGAACAACGTGGAGGAGCTGCGTTGACATGCTGACTGAACATGACAGAAAACAAGTAGTTTTTAACCCTTTCTAGCCTGTTTTTTTTAAGTTATTCGAGCACTGAAGTCATAATCAAAATAACAATTTCAAGATTTTAGTTCAGATGTTAGCGAGTGAGAGTATCATGTTAAAATCAAGTACATTTGTGGGAATACAGCTATAATGTTCTAGATGACATAAAAAAATCTAGTAACCTTGCAATGTGTCTAAAAACAAGGCTACATTATAAGATCAGATAGCAGTAAGTCAGTGAGTCAACAATATGCACCTAACTGTATTGTATTTTCATTCTTTTTAAAAAAACAGGAATTATCCTTAATCAAAACTTGGCAAAAGGTTCATAGATGATCATGTTTTATAAAAAAAAATGACTGCACATGAAATATTCAAAAAGTTATGAGAAATCCAAGTCTTACAAAACCATGTAGTTAGCAGCCACTTCCATGCCTCCTGGGTTAAGATACACTCATATTAAATATGGTTAGTTTTTTATAATAAACATGTACTTAAAATGAAAAAAATAACCTTCTCAGTTTTTGTTTAAACTAATTAACCACAAAAAAACAACAACAACAACAATGAACCGGGTTCAAATTATAGTAGATATTAATTTCAATTATGTTTAGGACACTTTTCTTACTTTGTTGTTGATAGTAGTTAATGGTGGTGGTTGACTGGCTCGAACTGATGCACGGGTCGGTTGGGCTGCTTTCATGCTTTTTGGTACTACTGTTTGCGTGGTCGGTGCTCGAACTGGAGCAAGAGACATTACAGATGAGATGACTGGAGTGGGACTCTGTGTTGTGGTGACCTTGGCTACAAGAAACATGGGAAGGTAAAAAACATTAGCAATATATTTAACCTTGACAAAGAAATCTAGTTTACCTTTGCAAAAATAACGAGTATAGGTTTTACGAAGAATATCGGGCAGATTGTGTCATCACTTCTGGAGTTTTTTCCAATGAAATCAACAACACTGTACTAATTATCTTACCCTCAGAACTGACTAAACAGTTAAACGACAGCTGCATCCAACAAGATCTGAAAATGGTCAACATTTCTTGGAAAACAAACAAGCAGATATTTTGGGCTGTTACAAAAATACTCAACTAAAACTTGAAAAAAATTAACTTGTGCTTTGATAAAAACTAAAAGCAATGTAAATAATGTTTCACTGAGTTAACTACGTATTACAGAGTGCAATATAATGCATTTGAACAGCTCTAATGTGGAGGTGTCAAAGAATTAACTAATAGATTTCATTTACTGATTTAGGCTACCAATTCTGAGAGAATACAGTAGTAAGTTTCATACTTACTGGACAGTAAAGAACATATTTTTTATATCTGCAATAACTGAACACCCTTTTAGCCACGGCATAGCGAGTTATAAAATGGCTCAGAGTATTTTTTATTTTTTTCAAGTACAAACTTCTAGCTCATAACTCTCTCATCTCTTGACTGACTTGAGTTTTGGACACAGGATGTGAAACCATTTCGACTGATATATTTGACCATGCCCAAGGTCTCATAGATTAATGTTAACAGGGAAAAATCTATACAACTTTTATACTGTAAATAATCTTTTTAACATTTTTCCAGTTAAGCAACATCTAGATAATTTAAATGTTTGTTAAAATTTTGACTTCCCCATATAACTGTGTATCTATATGCTGTACTATTCTTTTCCTGTGTGTTGAATTGGCATGAAATATGAATGCAAACCAGGAATTTTGTTGTTTTAGTAACATTAAAGTTTTTTTTTACAAGTGTGAAAAGAATTCAAATACAAGAAACTCTGAAATCATGTTTCTGAAGCCAATTGGTTATGTTTCTTCGTTATTGCCCTAACATAAATAACATAGTGATTAAAATTAATGAAAAACTTGGAAGTAACGTATCATACCCACTGTACAAAAACTTTGTATTTACTTCAAGATCGAGACAGGATAATCTTTACATCAATTTAACTTGTGTGTTACAAAATAACTCAGCATTCTTATAGTACATTTATTCAATGTTTAGTTACTATCGTGTGATGAAGACCAAAGAAATTGGCATGTGTATTTTTCCTACAAATTTTGGTTAACGTGGGAGTTTTCAACTTTACAATAACATTGAATTAAATGGAAAATATTAGCTGAATTAGGAATAAGAATCCTACAGCAAATGTCAACGATACAACATAACAAAAAAAAAAAATCACATATATAAGTTTGATAAGCAACCTACACGAAACACATTACACCCAGTTATCAGCTTATCATTACAAATAAGCTCAACTAAAACATATTATATTTTATTGTTATTTTTGCACGATCACAGTCTTTATGGATCAACACTCATCGAGGTGAGAACTCAAGCCAACTTACCTGAAACGGTTGATGAATTCTGTCGAACACTTGGAGTTGACGTGGTTAAAGTTGGAACGCTGGTGAATTTATTCTGGAACTTTATCACACAAGGATACGAACAAAAGTTCCTGATGGAAGCATCACTCATGGTTAAGTGATACTGGGCAGGTAACATTTTACGGCAATGATCGCAAGCCACACTCCGAGATGAGGTAGCATTTAAACTGACACGAAAAAGGGAGAGGCAATTCAAAGAGCAAAACAGCTGAACGTGGTTGTTTGAGTCCACTCGTTCTATCATATCAAAGTTGTACTTCTTGACCTAAAAAGATAATCACCAAATTCCTTAAATCTATAATATTTAGTTTAATACATTGAATATTTTTATTAACTTAGTATAATCTCTTTCTAAAATTTTAGGTGCAGTTTCTTACGCATATAAAAAGGTGCTTAAGATGTATATTGATGATCTCTGAATAATAAAACAATCTACTCTGAATATTTTCTAAGCCTCTCATCAATAAAATATCCAAGTTTTTTTTTTACCAACATTATTCAATGCAAAAAATATAAAATATATTTAATTATTTTTCCACAAATTAATGAAGATTTGTTTTTGTTAATAAACATTAACACAAAAGTTTAAATTTAATTTCATATCTTTGTCATAAAAAAAATTAAACGAGCAGGTCAGATGAACTAAAAAGTGCTTTTTGAATTTTTGATT